GGTCCGCAGCAGAAGTGTCAAACCCAAGTCCATCAAGTAAAAAGTCTGCTATAGTTTGGCTTGAGCCACAGGTGCTTCTACTCAGCAAGTTCGTTTACCTGCTCGTTGCGTGGAAACACATTTGGCTGTAACCGAACTGTGGCATGGATTTTACTTTGTGGGCCTGGATTTGACCCTCTGTCGTCAGCAGTGACGTGGGAATCAAGGACCATTTACGAAATGAGGCAACAGATAAAATAAGCAAGGTATTTCCTGTCATTTTTTGAACATCTAATTAAAAGAACACATTGTATGTAATTGACACTGAAAACGCCCTTTTACATTTGCACTAAACTACATTTTAAGTAACTTAAATATGTTTTTCATTTAATTGAATCAGTACTTATACTTTAAATCCAACGCAAGCGCTGTACTCGGACTTCTACTTAATCAGAGTGCGAATACTTTTTGCAGGAATTTTGAAAATTGTCATCATCGGTTCATTTTTGTGGGCAGGCAACAATACTGTAGAAACATTTTTTGAGGTTGTGAGTCAATGTTTGTGCCTGACTATTGTCAACTGACTCTGAATTGACTGACGTACAACAGGTTGGGGATCCGGTAATGCTCTTTATTTACGTTTTAGTACGTTCTTTTCGCGAGAGAAACTCCCATTTAAAAAAACGTGGACATTTTCCAAAATGACGACGGTACAGTTAAATTGGTTTGTAGTGCCTCGGCAATAATGGAGGTTAACACTCTCGGTCCCGCTCCAGGGTGACGGCGACAGCAGCGAGTTTCCTCTTGGGCGGGTGCGACGCCCACTCCGCCTCTTCACCACAGCAACTTCACTTTCTGCACACAGCAGTCGAGCCATCTTGCACCGCGTCTGCTCCGCGCTTCAACCTCGAAAAAGGACCGTTCCTTTTTTTTTTTGTAAAACATAGTGACAACTCACTAAAAGTCACACTTGGCAACTTTCAATCGGGGCGGCTAGCGCAAGCGTACAAACGAGCCGTTTGGGCCGCGCAATTTGAGGAAAACACTTGGAGACGGCGGCCGTGTTTGCTGCTACGAACGAATCCCCTGGAATGACAGTTGAAGCCATTAGGACCGCCTTTTACGCCGCCGAGCAGCCAATCACAGGTCAGCTGAGCGCCTTTGACGAGAGGCCGAAGTTGAAAGTCACACTTGGCAACTTTCAATCGGGGCGGCTAGCGCAAGCGTACAAACGAGCCGTTTGGGCCGCGCAATTTGAGGAAAACACTTGGAGACGGCGGCCGTGTTTGCTGCTACGAACGAATCCCCTGGAATGACAGTTGAAGCCATTAGGACCGCCTTTTACGCCGCCGAGCAGCCAATCACAGGTCAGCTGAGCGCCTTTGACGAGAGGCCGAAGTTGTTGAGCGCATGCGCTAGTCACTCGGTAAGTACAGTTACCGCTTCACTTCTCGCTAGCTCGCCGGAGAGTAAAGATGGCGCCTGTGGCTGGCCTCCCGGACGAGCTTAAATCACACACAGAGGTGAATAAAGCCGTAGTCTGTCACGACGAACGCTCCGGAAACTCACCATTATTGCGCTTGTCTCATAACAACCACTGTGGAAGGCGCGAAACACTTGACCATTAAATGTTGCTCCGTAGGGCGCTAACGTCCACTTGGGACTTGGCTCAAGACGATAGCTCGGCAGGTATGCTGTAACGCCAACTAATGTGTCGCTCTCCGTGTGTAGGCAGGAACACGCTGGCAAGGGAGATGAGTAGATGCGCCAAAGCCTAGCCCCGTCACTTTCGTCATCGTTTCGACTCCTAACAAGTTGGAAGTGCATGGGGCGTCAACATAACGACGTCCCCATGGTCGGTCGGCGGACTTTGCCACGGCACACGAGGCTGGCAGAACACTCCTTGTCAGTGCTGGTGTGACTTCTCATCTTCACTCGTCAGGAGGAAGTGGGCTCATACTCTGCGCAGACATTCAATGACCGACCATGAACTGTCACACTTCAGGAAGTGTTGTCCCTCCTGTGGGGAAGACAGTGGCGAGTTGCCATAACAGCTGTCAGGTGACATCCGTCAGTAGCACTGGACAGGTGCTGCCCAAGGCGTCGAGCGCTGCCACCGTGGTCCCCTTGTCAAACACGGTCATCCACACACCTCTGCCCAACCCGCAGACTGTCATCGCCTCGGCTCCCACCGTGACCCTCGTCAGGCCTCCGATGCAAACCGTGCAGTTGGGTCCCACTTTGAACGGGAACGGTGATGGGATGCGTGCGCTGGCGCCCCCGATCAAGCCACAGACCTCTGCCACCAACATGCCGGCTGCATCGCACCAGTCTGGCACTTCTGACGGTGCCCCTCCAGCTGCCAGTCCAGGTGGCATGCAAACTCTGACACAACAGATATTGTCACCCAGGCTTCCGCTGACATCCACCGGGCAGCCTGGTATACATAACATCCAGCTTCCCCCTGGTGAGTGTACCGTGCTTGCTCCAGTGAACAGCATGTAAATCCCCATGAAACCCACACAAGGTAGCAAATGAGTCTCAAATTTCACTCAAGGATACATTTGCTTGCACTGTTTGGGCCAACTTAGGCAAGGTGGTAAAAGTATTCACGCTGCGTACTGAAGTAGAAGTTGATACATAAAAAAAGACTTATAAGAGTAGATTCCGTGTTCGGTTCCCGCTCCCCGGCCTCCCTGTGTGGAGTTTGCATGTTCTCCGCATGCCTGCGTGGCTGCGAAAGGCTCCGGCACCTCAGTGACCCTCGTGAGGAGAAGTGGATTGGAAAATAGATGGATGGATGAAAAATAAATTAAGTACCGGCCCTTAAAAAATTTACACAAGTATGGTCACAAAGTGCAGTATACTTTGCTATTTCCCACTTTTGGTCTTAGAAGAGCTTTACAGTGGAGCAGGAAAGGGACTTCTTGGAAAAATGGGGCTAAATCTCCAATAGGCTAAATGTTTTTCAGGAATAAAATGTGGGTTGGACCCCCCCCCCCCACCACAAATAAAGGAAAAAAAGTATTGAAAAATATCTGCGAATACGCAAAATCTCAGGACTGTATTTCATTTATAGCATGAGCACGGCATCACCTGTAGTTACGAGTTAAAATCAACTCGAACACATATATTTTCCCACTTTCCCACTTTTTTTTTTTTTTTTCCCAGGGATGGTGCTCGTCCGTAGTGAGGCTGGACAGCTGCTGATGATTCCTCAACAGGCCCTGGCCCAGATGCAGGCACAGGCGCTAGGTGGTGCAGCATCCCGAACTGCTGCACCAAATATGACGCCGGGCCAGGTCGTATCGCATACTCTTAAGTTTTAAATTTGTTTTCATGATGATGTTTCCTACTTTCAGCATAGTGCGTAGGCCCCACCATCGTTCGTGTACGTCTTTTCGAGTTTGAGTCCGTGAAAAATTGTGAGCCAAGGTCATCATGAATCATTATTTCCTATACAGTACTTGTGCATTTGAAATGGATTCAGTCTGCCCTTGACAAATATACATGACTTGATGGGAGCCAATATAAGGGCTCTGACAACAATTTCTGAAGCTTAAAGTCCTCTCAGTTGGAGACAGTGGAGCTACACCAGCAATAAATAATGTGCCGTATCGTAAACATTCTACTTGCTTGAAATTGTCACTCATCTTTGCTGCGGCAGGATTTGGATACAAGCCATACCAGAGTTCAATAGTTGTGCACGTTTACCCCAGTAGGTGCCAAGTGGGCGCGGAGGCCGTTTTGAGTGTAAAACTGAGCCAACCATATCATGTGTTGTTATTTCTGCCTTTGTCCAGGTTCCCGGAAACGCCGTCATCAGCAGACAAACATCTCCGAGCGCCATCATCCGCCAGGGCTGTCCAACTCCAGCATCGTTGCCTTCCACCACCGCTCTTCATAGACCTCCTGTCCTTCAGGTGCTCTAGTCTGACTGTTGGAATGCGTTTCAGTCACTGACGCCAGAATCTTAATGTTCACAAAATGAAACAATATGATCATCGCCCCCCCGCCCCCCCAGAGTTCAGTGGGAACGGCAATCCCAGGAATGGCCCAGAGAAGCCAAACAGCTGGGGCCACGGTTACGTCAGTCACAATGAGCAAAGTGAGTTCTGTCATTGGGACGCGAGAGACCTCTGTTTAAATGTGTCTTCTAGGGTCATTCAGATGATACATCTGACACGTGTATCATTCATTGATTCATTGATTGATTCATTCGTTCGTTGATTCTCCGAAGCGCTCATTCTCACGAGGGTCGCGAGCTCTGTGTATCAAATGTGGTCAAACGGTACATGGGAGTGCATCCTTTCCACCCATCAGGAAACGATGGAGAATGTGAACAAATGTAGGAACTTCTTGTCTACACTGATCAAGCTGACTTGCACCGGCAAGCGATTCAGCGAGGCCGCCAGCGTGAAACAGCTGGTTAAAGACCTGCTGGTGAGTGACGAGGCCGGTAGAGCTCAGGTGTGCGCGGCTTCGACATCCGCATTCATATCAGCTCTGTCGCCAGGAGAATAAACTGGAAGCTGAGGAATTCACCAGCAGACTGTATAAAGAGCTTAACTCCTCACCCCAGCCGTACCTCGTGCCTTTCCTTGAGGTAAGGTGTCTCACGTCCTCATATCGCGCTTCATTTTTGGCTTTGCTCGAGCAGATGGACAGGTTCCACGCGTAGAATCTCGACGACCGTATTGAGGTTCCCGCACTCGAGTAACGTTTGACACCTTGCGTGCAGAAAAATCTTCCCGCCTTGAGGCAACTCACCCCGGACTCGGCGGCCTTCATCCGGCAGAGTCAGCTCGCCCAGCCGGCCTCCGCTTCCGTCTCGTCCACCTCAGCGAGCCCCGCCGCAGTTGTCCTGGGTAGCCCGGCTCCTCGCCTCTCTGCCCAGATCCACAGACCCCAGCTTCAGCCAAACGTTAGCAAGCCTGGACACACAACGTCATTGGTAAATATGGGCCACTCGCGTGGACGTAACTCTCTCCAAAACAAAAAGCGCCCATCCGGCAGCTTTCCGAGTTCTAAGAGATAGAAGGCTCCGCCGCAGGTCCAGCAGCCGAGAGCCGCGCTCAGACCTCAGGTCCCTTTAGCCGTGTCCTCCGTGGTGAATCTCAGGAATCAGGCCCCTGGCCGCGTCGTGCTGGGACAGCCGCAGGTCCAGCTCAAAGAGCTGCAACCCTGTGAGCAGAGCACACGGGACCTCGTGCTGACTCGATTTGTCTCGCGCTCATCGACACCGTCTCTTGCAGTTCCTGTGAAGTCAGAAGTGTCGGCTGTCTCCAGACAAAACTCGGCTGCGGTCTTGACTCTGGCGCAAAAGGATCGACTGAAAGAAGCAGGCGGTACCTTCAGGTGAAGATTATGAAGCAGTTTCGGCCAACAAATGTACACTCGCTGAATAATTGAACCCGTGGTTGTGGTTGTCATTTACAGCAGTAGGGATGGACATTCAAACAAACTCAATCGGGTTGATTTTTTTTTTTTTTTTAAATTTTTTTTATTAAAAACAAATAATGAAACAAACAACGAAAACAATGATCTCACCTGTTATTTCAGGAAAATATCCAGCGTTTGCCTGGAAAAAAATGGAATTCTAACATGTTTTCTCCTGAAGAAAGAGGCATGAAGTGCATTGTTTCACCCCAAAGGATGAAAGCCACCCAGCAGGTCCAACATTTAAATGTCCAAGCCAACTGCAGCACGCGGATTCTGCACTCATGTTCACTGGCCAACATCGCAACTTTCACTTTCAATCTGCTGTCGTAGGGATCGACAGCATTTCAAATTATGGAGAGAGAGAGAGATGGAAAAAAAATAAAATAAAATAATAGTCCCAAAAAGTAAAAATCCCCTTGAAAGGTCACCCGATTGTGACTGTGTGATGAACTGATTGAAGTACCACTGCACTTATTTTCACAGAGACGACGACGACATCAATGATGTCGCCTCCATGGCTGGAGTCAACCTATCTGAGGAAAGTGCCAACATCCTCGCCACCAATTCTGGACTGGTAGGAGCAGTGACGCGCTCCTGTAAGGATGAGGCTTTTCTTTCCTGCGCCATGTTACAGCGGAGAATGCTGGAGATTGGTGAGACACGAGAGCTCTTCCGATCATGTGCTCCCCTGCAGGCATCTTGCTTATGAAATATTATTCCTGGTCAGCAGAATTTCACATTGCACTTTTAAATTCTGTCACGATATTTGACCACTCTCCGTTTTCGGCTGATTGTGGTTCAGCCCCCCGCCCCCCCCAAAAAAGAGACTAGTCTCCGATAACCTGGACGGCCTGGATGCCACCTTACTGGCCGTTATGAGGAGTGAAGCCACTGGCGGCCATCTTACGTTGCCACTCACAAAGCTCGCCCCACTTGAATGCATTGTTGGTCCGCGGCGTTTTCACATGATCTTCTTTCTCTACAATGTGTGTCGTGCGCTTGCACTGATGAATTTGGGAGAATCTCTAAATGCACATGTCATCGGTAAGAAGAACATTGTACTTTTTCTCTTATAATGTATATACCTCAGAATGCCACTCAAAGATTCGTCTGCATCATGATGTCAGAAATACGAGCAATGTGAAATGAAAGCAAAAGAATGGCTGTCAAATGTCACTTTGTCAACTTTTGTACGCCTCAATTCACAAGGTGTCAGGGACAGAGGCAACGCAAAATGGCCGCCCTCGGCTTTCGGCTGCGAGGGCCGACCGGCAGGCCAGGTTATCATATACGTCCGAAGCGAGCTTTAATTGCAGTCGCCCAATCTTTTTACATTTTTTTTAACGATTGCCCAGTTCCATTTACTTGACTCCGTGGCAGGCTTAGCACCCCGTTCACACAGCTGCAAACGCTGCTCAAAGTTTAACGACGTCATTCTTTCTGCTTTAGGCCGCAGGCACGGAGTGACAGATCTCGGTCCAGAGGTGATCAATTATGTCTCACATGCGACACAGCAGCGACTCCGCGATCTGCTGGAAAGGGTTTCCCTCGTGGCGCAGCAGAAAAACGGCAATTTCAAGGTTTGCTTCCAGCTTGAACACCGTCACAATGTACCCATGGTTCTCCATAGTGTAGAATTTGCGCTTTGTTGCGAACAATTTTTTAAAATTTGACATGTAGCTTCAAATGCTTCCACTCTTGGTTCATTTTGCCAGAATTACTGACAAAAATGGATTTTTCCACAACACAAACGAAATATAAAACCCAAACATTTTGGCTTTTCGCTTCACTGAATGAACCCGGACACTTCTCCGCTGGCAGGAAGAGGACAACCATGAACAGAGCAGTGATGTTCGTTCTCAGCTAAAGTTCTTTGAGCAGCTGGATCAGTTGGAGAAACAGCGCAAGGAGGAACAGGAGAGGGAGATTCTCTTAAAGGCAGCTAAGGTACATCGAAAGTGGCCTCGACACATCCAAAACATGGACGCTGAGAGTGTCATTTCTGTTGATATTCCTCGTGTTTTTTTTTTTTTTTTTGGTCAACGCAGTCTCGAGCTCGTCAAGAAGACCCGGAGCAGCTTCGTCTGAAACAGAAAGCGAAAGAGGCAAGAGGAGTCAACCACTCTGTTTTAATGACTCTAACGTCTGTAAAGATTGACGTCTATGTTGGTGGTGTTATCTTTTTTTGTTTTTTTTCCCCTTTCAGATGCAGCAACAGGAGCTGGCTCAGATGAGACAGAGGGAGGCCAATCAGACTGCTCTGGCCGCCATTGGCCCTCGAAAGAAGAGGAAGATTCTGGATTCGCCATCTTCCACGGCTGCCACAGAGGTGAAAATGACTGCAGCACACTTTTATTTTAGCCACGTGACCACCAAGTAAGACGGCTCAGCTAAATCAACTAACTGCCGTTTGTCAGTCATCAATGTCAGCATCCTTCGCTACTGCTCGGTTGGTCAGAGTTTTTAAGAATTTTAAGAACATGATCAATTGAGGCTTTTTTGTGCAGTCTGTTCACATTTCAGTTGTAATTTTGGTGACGTCATCCTCTGGTGTGTTTCTCAATTGCACGAACCCACCGAGCTTACCCGGTAATTCTATCGCTTTGGGAAGCTAATAAGCGCAGCGCTTCAAACCGCTTTCCTCAAGTTGAAAGGACGAGCGCTGCCCAAGCCAAAGTTGTCTGTCATTCATTTTCGACCGGAAAACACAAACACAGGTTTTGCACTGGCACGAGAACGGTCTCAAAGTCACTGTGGCCCATTTGTGTTGCCTCCCAGGGATCAGGCCCCAATCTTTCCGGGGGTGCCGGCTCGGCAGGCTCCAGGCCTACACGGCAGCGCATCACGCGCGTCAATCTCAGGGACTTGCTCTTCTGTTTGGAGAACGAGAGATGTACCAGTAGCGCCAGTTTCCTCTACAAAGGCTTTCTCAAATAGGCTCCGTGTCCGCAGCTAAGAGAGGAGGCCGAGCCAACTGTGCGTAGAGGGCGAGCTGTCCCGGGAAGCTGAGAGCATACAAGGCTCCCGAAAACGCAGGCTTTTTTCACTTGGGCGGATAGATAGAGGACCTCAAACGTCAAAAGTACATACTGTGTGACTATATACTGAATCACCTTTCTACCTCCCCCACCCTAAAGGCGGATTTCTTTTCTGAGCTGCAATGGACACTGCATCTTCCCTGAAAATCTGCTTTATTGAAGAATTGTCTGATTTTTTTTTTTTTTGGAGATAGATTTTCCAATTATGCAAGTATGCACTCACGAGTTGATTCTTTTTCCTTGGTATTCTGTGCATTACAATTGGAAGCACTGAAAAGAAATATTTTTGCTGAGACGGCGTTTCTATATGAAATCATGATCTTATTTTTAAATGTACCTTCACAAAGTGTGACCTACTGAAATTGCCTTTCTAACGGTAAGCCATATATCGCGCACTCTGCTGTAACCCAGAAAGCAGTGAATATCGAGCTCCCCATGACTTATACTGGATATTATTGGACCCATATTTATTTACCAAATTTGGCGTTGAATTGTTGTTTAGCTATTTATTTCATTTTATTTGGTACATTGTGTGTCATGTCCCTTGAATTGTAAATCCTGTTTTTTTTCCCCCCCTAACTCCTCTTACATGTGTAGATTTAAGCGTGAAGAGTGCTTCTATTCTCATAACTTTTGTTTTGGTTTAAATCATGCTCAAGTTGAAGTCTATTGATATTTGCGTTGGTTTGTCTAGCTGCCCACGTGTGACTGTTGTGCTCTCTCTCATAGATGGTGGAGTTATTTCTCGAGCCGAATCTATTTTGCGCTTTTCAGCCCTTCATCTTTTAGGATCTATAATGAATCGTGTATATTTGTAAATGTTGCAGCTTAATTTTTACATATTTTTAATAGCCGTGAGAATGTACCCGTAATAAAACAAATGTTTTCTCCAATGAACATTTTAAATAAATTTATATTTTACACTAACCGTATTTCCCCTTCTGAATGTAGTTTCTCATAGCACGCTTTTGTATTGCAGCACGACACCGATTTGCTTGTGACTTGAGAAAAGTAACACTTGGTTGCCAACAAGTACAGTTGGGGCAACAGGTTTTGCTCCTACTAGAACGTGCCTTTTGGGATAAACTTTTATAGGCTTTGTGTTGTCTTTCGCTGCTCTTGCTCAGGTAAAAATGACTGCAATACTTTGACTTGATGGCTATCAGCACCAAGTAATACGAAGAATGGTTCAATTGCAATCATTTATGACTCTCAGTTCCCAGGGCTTTGTCTGTACTCTTGACATGTTCCCCGGTGCTCTGTAAACATCTGCCACGTCAGTCCGTGACCCTTGTTTGCAAGATGCATTTTCATCAGTGTGATAGTAGCCATAGGTCACCATGACTGGGAGCAGCTTCACACCAACAGGTGCAAAGTTGGATTTGCCAACGGTGTCCAAGCCCAGTTTTCAACTTTTTATTTTTATTTTTAAAGAACGGAAGTACTCATTGAAACCACAAGATGGCGTCAGCTCCTTTTGCAATACCTGTACACCTATTCCAGACACATCTACGGACTAAAACTGGAACGCAGAGTTGTTAAATGGCAAAATGCATCCATTTGATTTAATTGCGCAAGTTTTTGTTTTTTTGTTTTGGTCACCGAACTGTTAATGCTGGGAGAAAGCAGAGCCCTATTTTGTTGTCCCTCCACGAGTCTTTGTCAGGTCGAGATCCTCGACGACCCCGTCCATCGTGCCTCCACCCAATCCGCTCCTTTTCGTGGCGATCCCTCTTCCACTCATCCCCGCCGCTTCTCTTTCAGACTTAAGTCCACATAAGCTCCCGCTGGAGTGCCGCAGGCAGAGCAGCAACGGGGGATGATGAGGTTGCCTAGCGACGTCTCAGTCACTGCACCTGAGGGTGTTGGGTAAACACCCCGAGCTCGCCAGAGGGAACAAAAGGGAAATAAAATCACTCTTTTCTTACTAGTTGGTTTTTTGGAAAGCATCGTAGACACCGTTGAGGAGAGCGACGTACGTTTATGGGACTCATTATCTTTCAGCTATTACGTCATTCACGTGTTTTGTGTTCTTTGTTTTTCACTCTGTGAAACAGGGTTGACCTGCCTGTGACATGCTTTTGACACCCCCCCCCCCCAAAAAAATAAAAAAATCATGAATTATCTGCAGGATTTCCTGTTGAGAGGGTGGCCCTGAGTGTTCATTAAATGAGCCTGGCCAACATGCACACATGGAAAGGGAGAGTACAGATTCTCTTTTTCCTCACAGAGCGAGCAACCAACTGCCAAATGACAACAGGCAGGCTTTGTGTGAGGGAAGGGGGCCAGATCACGATCCTGATTATTCTTGTATTTTTATTTATTTATTTATTTTTTAATACTCTTTCCCCTCAGGACAGGGGACAGGGTGGACCTGCCTCCCCTGACCGCACGTCCCTGTTTGGCCATTTGAGCGCAAATGTGATGAATTGACTTGGTACCTTGGGATTTATTTGCTGCATTTTGTTGTCCGCACTGACCGCTAAGCAGATTTATTAGGACCCCGGAGATCACTTTTTAAGATTCGTCCATCGGCAGTTTTCGGCTCGCTTGCACCTCTTAACGACTCCATCTCCTACGTGTCCATGACCTTGTGGCACCGGGGCTAATGCTGACTTGAGGACTCTTTTGTCACGAGGTTGACCGGGGCAGTTTGCTTTGGCCCACAGATGCTATTATAGGAACGCTGTTTATGACTGCTGTTGAAATGGCTTTGTAAGTATGGTGTGCACCTGCAAGGTATTGATGTGGGGGGTTAATAGCCCGTTGCCCTCTTTAATGGGACTACATCGGGTCTGGCGGCGGCCTGCGGCAGCCCGCAGAAGAGGAGCGAGACCGTTGACAAAGTCACGGCCTTTATGGCGCCCAAATGTGATGCGGTCACGATCGCATTCTGGGTGGCGGAGGCGTTCCCACTTTCCCACCCCTGCAGCGCACCTGCCTGGCATCACAATTATGGGCCCACGTCAAGCTGTCGGGAAATTTCGCCCAAGTCATTGTTCGTGTGCGTTGCGTCTAGACGCTCTCTGATTACTCTCGCTCCGTTTTTGGCTCTTGCCTTGATTTATATTTTCTCCGTTTTGGAGGCTCTCTGCTTCTGTTCTGCGTGATTCGAACAAGTCGTTCTTGGTGTGTTGAAGGGTATCCGGGGTTTGTTCTTCATGCGGTTTAGTCTTTCTTGTACTTTTGTTCCAAATCTATTCTCGTTCGTGTTTTTTCCTTGCCTTGCGCAAGCGCTTTTACTTTTCTTCGCATTATTCCCGGCTTGTTGTCCGGCGTCATTATTTGTACTTTGCGCCCATTTTTATTGATTTAGTTTTTTGGGGTGAATAAATCGATTTTTTTTTTCCCCCCGAGTCGACGCTTGTAGGGTGCGATTCTGTCAGGAAAGTTTCCGACGCCGCATCGATGCATCTCCAACTGGCATGGACAAATGTACAAAACGATGACGCTCCAATTTGCGAGGCACTGCCGCAACAGGGCGAGTTGAGACAGCGTTTCCCAACACGGACAGCGCAGTGACACACGTTTTATATTCAAATACAATCTCAGGGGCCACGACCCAAAAATTCACAAAAAGCGGAGGCTAACGTATTGCCGCCGGCGTGAAGCACATTCCATGAGCTACCACACTAATTCTTCACATATTGAAAGACATGCGCATGAGCACAATATGCCAAATGTTTGGATGTGAAATGAGCACGAATTTCATATCCGATGCCTTCGCAAGGGCGCACGGAGTGACCGCGCGCATGCCGTTGCGACATCGGCTTCAAACTGTGGCCAATCCTTTTCCGCTCGAGCGGATCGTCTCAAAGCGTGGCGTTCTTCTTCCCCGTCGTGTTGCCGTAACATCATCCTACTGTTTGCAATCATAATCCCGGGCATGTGCGGCGCTCAATTATTTATTGGCGCTAATGACTTTGCTACCCATCTATTATTCATCCGAGGCTCTGCTCTGTCGTCCTGGAGTGAGGCTGACAGGGGGAAACGGAGCTTGATCGTACCCCGAAGGACATCCGAGTGCAACCTGTTGAAGTTGCCAATCGTCTGTTCCCCTTTCGGGACGCTGG